ATCACTCAATCATTATCAAAAAAAAAAATCACTCAATCTGCAATTTGTCTTTAGCTTTTGCCGTGTAGTAAGCTAGGTTGAAATGGTGTAATGATATGTCTGTTTGATTGTATAATCTACTTATATTCTTATTACTGACTAACTGACTTGTGTTATTCAAATGTAGGTACGAAATATGATTTAGATTTTATGACTCCAAATAAATCTGGACAAAATTTTAAATCAGGACAGGATATGATTGATATTTACAAAGAACTCTGCGCAGGTATTTTGTTATGTATTGATTCTGTGATGTGAGTTTTCTGTTATTCGACGATGTTACATTCTCACCAAATCCTTTTTTTTTCTCTCCCTATAGACTACCCCGTTGTCTCAATTGAAGATCCATTTGACAAGGAGGACTGGGAGCATGTCAAGTACTTTTCGAGTCTTGGAGTGTGCCAGGTTCGTCTGGGTTCTCCCTGGTGATTTTATCATCTGATTGCAATATCTGCCATGATGCACTTCTGCCCACTGACATGAATTGCATGCTGCAGGTGGTTGGAGACCACTTACTAATGTCAAATCCTAAACGGATNTCTGGTTCGAACTGTGACTGATCAAGGGCAAGGAATATTCCTGTCTCCATGGCACCGGTGTGATTTGCAAGAAAAAGGAGTATACTATGAAAGATTCACACTTTGAAAGAGTAGAATCAATAATTGTTGTAGCAAACAGTGTTAATTTGACGCACAAAAGGAAAAACATCCTCTATAGAAGAGCTCTGTTGAGATTTATCTTTGCGAAGGATAACCCATATTGCATAGATTGTTGGTTGAAGGTTTTGGAAATTAAATCTTTATTTTGTGAAGGGACACTGGCTTGTGATAATTATCTAAAGCAGTTTGATTTATTAAAACAGGAAAAAACATAGATCTTTGCAAAAGTATAGCTTTCTAACCAATCCAATCATATCGCCAATGTGTAATATGATCATTCAGGATTTGTGTGGTTTCACCTTATTCTGGTTTTCCTTTGGTAATTTTGCGCTTCCCTTTCTTGGATTGAACTAGACTCTCCACATTCTACATATTTGCAGTGCTAGGAATTCACAAGAATCTTCTCCAATAGTGTAACATTTTAATTATTTAGCGTATGATATGATCTGGACATAGATTAGCTCTTGAATTTTAAATTTTGATGTCCGAATGACCTTATACTTGGTTTAGTAATCAAACATTAGAATACGTTCTTTTTTATTTTAAAATTATTTCAAAAACTTAACTCATCTTCGTGTGAAGGACGATGAAGAGGCTATGATCTAGAAAGTTAGACAAGCAATGTGATGTACATCAAAGCACACCTGAGGGGGTAGTTGCTTCCATTTGAAGTCAGGATTACTCTGTTTATTGATCATCGAAGACTGGATCAGATTGTCAACTGAACACCCACCCACCCATCCAAAAAAAAAGACTCAATAAACCGTGTAATCCTGACCCCTATCCAATACCCATACTGGAGTCGTTGCACATAGCAACCACTATATCTTCAATGTTTACTGCTTTTCTCTAATGGAGTGAACAACTCCCTGGCCTTTGGTTCATCTTGGTGACCAAGAATTCTCTGAAGGCTTTACCTGCCATTTGAGATCGCTCTACAGTTTAGTATTTGTTGCAACTCTGGAGGAGTACTTGTTCATCCACAACTGTTAAGATGTTTTTTTGATTGTTTCGACAACTGTCAAGAAATTGCCCATCCATCTGATGCCAAAAATGAGACACCAATATTTGCACTATTTTACTTCTGAGTCACTGCCCTGTTATTAGTGATTTGAGATCTTAGTAAAATATGTCATTTTGATTACTTCGGATACTTTCTTGATTATTAGGTCCTTCAGATTTTCTTTGTCAAGTCTCCTTGATAGTATCATAAATCCTTAAATACATAGGATAAGACTCCATATTGTTTGGAAATATCAGTAGCATATGTTGCTGATGTAAAATACTTTCTGATGGCATGGATTGGCTGGGATACAGGTTAATCAGATTGGTACGGTGACCGAAGCGATTGAAGTGGTCAAGATGGCTAAGGATGCCCAATGGGGGGTTGTGATATCTCAAAGAAGTGGTGAAACTGAAGACAGTTTTATAGCTGATTTATCTGTTGGCTTAGCTACTGGTCAAATTAAAGCAGGTGCTCCTTGCCGAGGAGAACGACTAGCAAAGTACAACCAGGTCTGGTTGCTAGCCTATGATTTTTTATAATGTATTTGCCATGTTTAGCTGAAATTGTGGACTGCTTTCAATTTTTAGAACTGTAGTGGTTTTCCTTTTTCCTTTTCTTTTTTTCCTGGCGGGAGTGGTGGGTTTGAAAAAGTAATTCCTCTGTTTACAACCTCCTCAATGAAAGAATTTTTACTTTTTTAGTGGCGCACCATCTGTTGTGCCATGCACTTATTGTGGTTTGACACTTAAGGACACATTACAAAACACTTATTTCCCTTGAGCATGACTTTTTCACATCCTTTTTTTCTGTCCTTTTTCTACCAAGTATGACGTTTGTTTATCTTGCAGTTGCTTAGAATTGAACAAGAGCTTGGCGATCAAGCATTTTATATTGGTGAAAAGTGGAGGACCTGATCATTCTTCGTTTCTATTTTTGGACATTCTTCCCATTCTATCTTAGTTGCAGCGCTACAGACTATAGAGTCTTTTAGTTTACAGCTAAACGGCTACAGTTTTGAACATTCTCCTTGAGCAGTGCTATAGCTTTGCGGCTAATGGTTACAGACTGCGGGATGAGATTGTTTTTTCTAATGTAGTGTTAAAATCTGAATTTTCCTGTTTGTAGAGGCATTTGTAAAAATTTTGAGTCAAAGTGCAATCAGAAAAAATCTCACGTTTTTGCAACTGAACCATGGTTTTCATCTTACGGGCATAAAGGACAATTTGGCTTAGGTACTGAGTGCAACAATGAAATAGATAACATTTATTATCTTGTTGATATTTCTGTATTGGCTGTTCCTGCTTCCAGTTTTTCCTGCATATCTCAACTAAAATGCTTGCAAATCTATTAATCGCCAATTTCATATCTGCAAGTAGGTTGTTGCTCATACTCATTTTACTGTTAAGTAGAAACTTTAGCATCTCTGCTTTTCCTAGCACCGCTAATAACTGTAACAAACTAGTGCATCATTTCCAAGAAAAATGTAAGTAAAATTAAAAAATATTGGTTATAATTATAACCAATATTTACAACCACGATTAATCTTTATCGTGGATAAGCAAATAGGAATTCGTAGGTGCCTCCCCTTGACGTCCATTGCTTACAAGCTACAACTAGCCAAGGATAAATTCATAAATCAAAATTTTCACAGCAGTTAAGCATTTCAGATTCTTAAAATCATGTCAAAGATTTTTAATGCCAGAACCAAAATCCCTTTTCAATGTATTTAATGCAGAGCATCAAATAAACCAAGAAACTCTGTAAATTCAATGGGAGTAGGTTTACAACATTCTAGCATCGCATGCAGGCAAGAGAATAGAAAAGAGTTAAAAAGAGGGAAACACATGATTCCATTAATTAAACACAAACCTAAAAAATTATCTAGCAAGTCTAAACTACATCTTGCTTGCTCTCTTGCTTGCCTGAAAACCTCAAATGAGCTTCATCACAGAAAATTTAACCCCCAAACCAAAGCTCAAAAGAACGCAGAAACATAAAATTAAGGTTTGGTTTCCTCTTCATCCTCTTCAATCTTAGGCGCCAGGTAAAACCTTATATAGCCCATCTCAGCAATCTTGTATTCAACCACAACAGGTAGCTCTGAAGACAAGCTGATGGTCACAGTATTGGATAGTGGAGTTGCTTTTGTAAAGGAGTTCAAGTATCTCAGGGCAAAAGTCAAAGACACTGGCTCATTCATCTCTATTACTGTGGCTTCTTCAGGCTGCCAATTTGAAACAAACAAGTCAAACATCAGCTTATATGACAAGAAATAATCAACCAGACAGAAACACTATAAGCAAAATATCTACCTTGTCAACAGTTGTATTCTGCCTGCAAACGATATTTGCAGTACCAATGTCACCTCTGGTTGAGAATTTTACACCTTCCTTTGTCACCGAAATTACAACTGCCAATTGAAACAAAAGTTAATCTTCAAACACCATTAGTTAGTTCACTAAAGTTGCAGTTAACATGAGAGATGAATTGCACCTGTATCACCAATACTGCTAAGGTCTTTGCAAATTCTAGAAAACTCTGCAGAAGGCATTCTAACAATAGCATGGTACTCTGCTTCTGGAATCCCAAGATGCTCACTGTCAATGTCCATCAGCTTCATCTCAAAATCAGCAATCTTGTCTTGGGCTATGATCCATTACAGTAATCTTAATAAGTTACACCCAGCCATAACAACGGAAGAATAAGAGACTAAATCCAAATTTAGAATCAAATCACAATTTCTAAAACAATATATTCAACTTAATACATGCTACACCACAAGCTATGATGAATATACCCAATGCCAATTTCTTGGATCAAATGTCAATTATATCAATTCCGAGCTAAATCAAACTAGTTTAAGTCATTTTTATTTTATATTTTTGAGAAACAGTAAGGTAGTTACTTTTAAAAAATTTAATTTAGATATTCAAACACTATAGCAAAAGTACTATTAGCTGCAATTTCATCTCTTGGAGCAAATGTCAATTATACCAATTATGAGCTAAATAAACTAGTTTCTTTCATTCTAATTTTTTTTAGAATCAGTAAGATAATAATTTTAAAATTTATAACTTAGATATTCAAAGACTACGCCAAAAGTACTATTAGCTGCAATTTTTCACACATCAAAATAACCAAAGGGTACATAACAAAGTTTTAAATAAAGTAATCATAAGCAAAAAAAAATGTCAAATATTTTGGGGAAGGGGAAGTAACAATTTGCAACTTTACATAACAAATTTTACAATATTACAAGATCTTATTTATCTGTTACCCGACCTAGGAAAAAACTAGGCTTCAGAAAAAATAAGTTTTGGAACTTACTGGGGCTTTCAAACATGAAAGTGACGGTGTCACTGCCATCGTCAGCCTTGAGAGTAATGATGTCATCATTCCCGGCACATTTGAGCATTTTAGCCATGTTAGCAAGGTTCATCCCCATTGAAATATTACGGTCACAGCGATAGTGCTCAAAACCCTCAGATCGGAGCAGCAGCGCCACCAGCGCCACGTGGCTGGAGTCCATGGCCTGCAGAGAGAATCCGGTGGCAGAGCAATCGAAGTTCGCATCGTTCACCAGATCCTTAATTGATTCTAGAACCTTCTTCAGCAGACTTCCCTGAACAAGCCGTAATTCCAACATTTTCGATGAAAAAGGGGTTTTGAGAAGATCTGGGGAAATTAGGGTTAGGGTTCTGAAATGGGGAGGAGGGAAAGGACGAAGTGTTTGAGAGAGAAATAGAGCGAAAATGAGAGGGAAATAGGGGTTAGGGTTTATATAGCTGCTGAATTAGGAGGTGTGCTCAAGAATTCAGTGCTCGCTATTGGCGGGAACGGAATGAACTGCCGAGTGAAAAAAATATTTTTCCCGCCTTTATGTTGGGCCACTTTAGCCCATATATCATTGGGTCTGCTGGGGGAAAGGCCGACGAAGTACTATGGCCTCTTGGCTGAGTTTTTTACGGTAAAAATAGCACGGGCTAGCCAGTTTTTTGACTGGTAATTTAAAAATAGTCAGCGTTTTTAAAGTCATTAAAAAATAGTCACTATTTTGCTGCAACACAGACCGATCTAGCATAATATACTAGAGATTGGTGCACTTATGTATGAACTTTCAGCATATTATGCTGGAGCAGTATATTATACTGAAACTCCAGTATAATATGCTAGAGTTCCAGTATATTATGCTAGAATATTTTTCAAATTTTGAACAGTATTTTCGTTCAGATTTATCTTTACATGAAAAGTGATTAAATTTCGATTACTTTTGAAACTGTGGCTATTTTTCAATTACCACTTGTAAATCTGGTTATTTTTGAATTTCTCCCTTTTTTTACAGGGATTGTTACACAAATACTAGGTTATATTTAATATTTATTTTTTTAACTGATAAATTTAGCTTATACATTGATCATACGCAGTTATACATAGAGGTGTCAATGAATATTTAAACACCGGCAAAATCGACCGAACCGTACCGTACCGAATCGATTTTTAGGTTTCTTTTAATAAAATCGTAGGTTTTTATATAAATCTATAACTGTACCGATAATTAGGGTAGATTTTTTATTTTATATAAATAAATCAAAAAAAATACCGAACCGTACCGAATAAATTTACATGTGAAAAATATATTTATATATTAAGTTTAATAATAATAATGTATTAAAATTTTCTTGGGCCTTAGAATTGTGAAAACGATTACAAGCCAACAAGTAATTAAATTCAAAATCCTGATTCCCAAACCTATAATGCTACTCCTATTGAAACTAAATTATTTCCATCGTATTCACCAGCAAGACACAAGGTATTATAATGATTAGCAACAAACTACAATGTATTGAATAGGTTTCCTTTCGTATAATTTGGATTTATCTTTTCACTCGTGTGATTTATATTTTCTTTGTCTTTGTTTAGTTTCTTTTACGCTGTTGTAGAATAGTTGATGGATATGTACTCTCGCAATCTTTCATATTTTCTTAATTCATCACCCTTTAAATAGTAAAAATGTCGAAAGAGTTTGTTAAGTCCTATAAAAATACGTATGTTATTGCATTCTACTTGTACTAGTACTTTTACATGATTTTTTAAAAAAATATCAAAAATTAACTGAACCGTACCGATACCGAAGAGAAACCGATATGATTGGACGGTTTTAAAAGCCTAATTTTGGTTATACATAATAGAATAATCAAAATATTGGTATGGTACAAATTTTAGAAAATAACCGTCCGAACCGAACCATTGACACCCCTAGTTATACATATATATTATATATACATCGGCTATTTTAAAATTAAGAGATTAAGTGGGCAGTTATTTGAGTTAATTCTTATTTTTTTTACACGCTTGATCCTTTTTTAGCAATTACTTAAAAAGATAGAATTACTTCTTGGTTATTACATAAAAATATATTTTTTTACATCAGCATATTAAAAAATTGTGTTTAGTATTTAATGAGTTAATTAGAATGCAATAGTCACGGGATCTACTTTTATTCTTTTTGATATATTGACTCTCGCTTTCTCTTTCTTTCTCTCTTCGTATTTTCAGTCCAAAGTTCAGTTGTTGATGGAGCATTCAAATACTCCGAATATTTCTTCTTCTTCTCCTTTTATCTTTCAGAAACTCATGTCTGCAATAATTTTGACATGGATTTACGAATATTACTACTAATCTTCTTTATGGATGCGATAATATTGATATGGAATCGTGCCGAAATATCATACAAATTTCACATAGGGCTCACTCTTAAATCTCACGTTACTTTCATATAAATCTCCCGTTACTTCATCATTTTCTATAAATACATTTGTGGGTTCTTTGAGCTTTAAAATAATAAAATCCTAGAAGTTGTATATTTACTTGAATTTTATATCAGTTTGTGAGTAATGTAAAAGCTATCAAGGATACTTATTATGATTCTCCTTCATAAAGTGGTGAAAATATTTTACCACTTTCTTGTTCCAATTTTGAGTTGTTGCATGAAAACCCTGGAAGGTCTTCAACCTAGAAGCCTTTGCGAATGAAGAGTTCGATTGAGGAGATTACAGAGCAAAAGGGGGAGGGTCTCACAATTGTTTTGAAATAAACTCCACATTCTACTCCCAAAAATTATAATCAATTTACAAGATCAAACGTGGATGAATCGGGCAAAAAGAAGCATAAAGGACAAGAAAGTTAGATGATAAGAAACGGGCAAAAGCTATTGAAGATGAGTTTGAGGAT